AGAGAGAGAGAGAGAGAGAGAGAGAGAGAGAGAGAGAGAGAGAGAGAACGTGTGCACAAGCAGTGGTGGGGGGCAGAGAAAGAGGGGAACAGAGGATCAGAAGCAGACTCTGACAGCAAAGAGGCTGACAGCAGAGAGTCTGAAAGTTCATGACCTGAGCCAAAGTCGGATGTTTAACCGAGTCAACCAGGTGCCCCTCTTTAAGCCTTTTTATAAGGACTAGGGTTTATCCTCAGGACCTTCCCTGATCGGCTGCGCTCTTCAGTAAAGAATCCTGAGCCAGTTTAGTGGAAATCTTTCTATCTTGGATATTTCAGTATCTTTGAAATCTGGTCAAGTTCCTTATTACCCACCCTTAATGCCCATATACGTGGCTTACTTCTATAAGAATTTTGTGGGGTTAGTTTAGCAAGAATCACATTGTAGTTGAAATGTAATCAAGTTTCTCTTAGAAATTTTCCATCCACTGACTTCCCTCATTCTGTTCAATGACTGTAAGTCTCCACCTACTTTTGTTGTCTTTGGAATTTAGTTCAATCTCTCTCCCCTATTGCAACAGTCGTGACCCCTATTGCGATCAATTTAAATACAAGTCTACCTTAACATTTTTAAGTGCCAACATAATTTCTCTCTGACAAAAGGTAGAGTACATTCCCCAAAAAAGGCAATTAAAGGAAAACTTGTTTCATTTTGTTTAAGAAGAAAGAGAAAAGCAAAGAAAGACATGAAAGAAACATGGCGGTGTTAGAATCTATTGGATTATTTTCTATAATTTTGAATGAAACAGTTTTGAACAATCAATCACACAATAAAGAAATTCACCCCAACCAGACTTTCACGCAGGGAGACAGGGAAGATTTACATCCAACTGTTTGTGTATTCACCAAGTTCTCCTTACACAAATAAGTGATCTTTGTGTTTATTGTATTTACCTATGAACAAAGTTAAACTTGTAATACTTTCGTGCACATGGTCATTTTAAGTTATGCAGAACTGGGACAGATATCATAGCATCAAATATCTGAAAAAGGAACCAGAGAGTCCTCTACAAATCTTTGTTCTACATACAAGAAATTTGACTCTTGGATATTTGGGAAGGTGGTGGCAGAGACAACCCGTAATCTTTTGCTCATTATGATCAGGTTATGAAACCACAACACTATGCCAGTTATTCTATTAATAACTAAGTACATTCTCAGAGAGTGGTTTTAATAGATCATTAATAGTGAAATTAGTGTTTGAAGTGATTATACCAAGTAATCAAGAAGTAT